AGTGATGACAAAACATATTAGAAGGATTCGTGTTGGTATGTGTGATAATTTTTCTACTTAAAAAGCAATAAAGAAATAATGTGACCACATTGCGAGGAAATGTAAGAGTAATAAGGGGCGGAATCCAGATTGAATTAAAAATTTAATTTTAATTAATTAAATTATATTCATACTAGGTTATCATATATCAAAAATGTGTAGGCAGCTATTTAAAAAAAAAAAAAAAAAAAAAAAAAAAAGCATTTAAATTTTCCTTTATTTTCCGTACAACAGCTTTTACATGCTTTCAAGTTTTCTTTTTCTTTATTTTCTTTTTACATAAACGAATATGTACTTTTAGATTACTAAAATTATGAAGCAATGTGATAGAGAGATCTACACCAATAATGGAACATACTCTCACAACAATCACAATAAACTCATTTAATTCAATTTCTACGACAATTAAATATTCTTTAAATAATATACAAAATGAACAATATCACACACATCGTGAACAAAAAAAAGTTGGTGAACTTAGTACAACAGCTACGAAATATCTAGAATTGAATAATAGAGGTAGTGTGTATATGACCAAAACATTGAATTGTTTCAATCACAAACGCAATTAGGGAAACAAAATACCCAACAACATATGGCTCACCACTTTGTCTTATTTGATTGTTTTTTGGGCAAAGTATTTTGGCCTATTTCCTTGCTTTTTTTTTTTTTTTTTTTTTAACCTCACACTTCCCCATGACAATAATGCTTTGCCAAATTCAACGCCTCATGGCGAAAATGCATCAAATTACACCCACACACAAAAAAAATATATTATTTTTTCTTTTATATATATATATTTTATTTTTCTCAAAAGAAAAATAAGTAAGAAGTAAATTTGAAAATAAAAAAAGATTTGGTTTTTGAAAAGGAGAGCTTTATTTTTTATTTTTTATTTTTTAAATCGGCAATGACCGGTTCTTGAGGGAGGGGGGGACCTAGGGTGAGGCGCGGATCTCATCTAATTATACTCTCCTTTTTTTTCCTCCTTTATTATTTTTTTATTATTATTATGGGACGGCAACGTGTTTTCACTTTTTTTATTTTTTTTTATTTAATTAATCGATCCAATTTTATTAAAATATATTATATATATTTAATATCTTAATTTTAACCCAAATAAATTCAAAATTTTCAAGTAACCCAAACAATTAAACATTCTGGTCAAATAATATTTTTTTTTTTTAAACAACTTATTTCTAACATATCTTTATAAATATAATTTTTTGTCTTTGAAAGATGTCTATTTCTATTTCTAAACCTTTACTTTTCTATAATATAACTCCTTTATCTCTTAATATTTTTTAAAATAATAAACAAAAACAAAAAATTGTAAATAAAAAATATTATATTGAAAATGAAAATACAATTATTTTTAACTTAACCATTCAAAAAAAAATAGACCATAAAAGTATAAAATTTCACCCCTCTAAAATTTTACATGCCTGCTTCTCATGGGAGTCTGAGTCCGAGTTGATCATTCTCTCATTTCAGCTATTGATCATTGCTTTGGTAAGCTATTCCCTCACCAACTAGCTAACTAGAAGCAAGCTCCTCCTTAGACGGATTTCTCCTTTTACTCCTCAGCGTACCGAGTATTAGTAGTCGTTTTCAGCTGTTGTTCCCCTTCCAAGGGTAGATTCTTATGCATTTCCCACTCGTCCGCCATTGAAACCACCACTTTCCGTTCCGAATTATAAAAAAAATAATATTTAAATTTTAGACCACCAAAACAAACCAAGGGATAGAGATTCAAAACCTTCTACTTGAATAGGGAAAAGATTAAAAACTTACTCCTCCAAAGATATCAATCTCATAACATACCCAGTTGATTTAGGTCGTTTTTATAACAATTAAAGTCCACAACTATCAGATATTATTCTAGGCTTTTCCTTCTAGGTTTCTTCTCAAAATTTTTATATCATGTTTGCCAAGGAGAGGTTTCACACCCTTATAAAGAATTCTTCGTACTTCTCTATAATCGATGTGGGATTGTGAGATCTTACGGTTTTGGCTCTAAATTTGGTTGATATGATTTTGAAGCAAGGATTAAAAAATAATTTGGAGAGACAAATAGAAAATGGACCAAATCAGCTTAATTGAATCTAAACCCCTTTCATTTAATTAATTTGAAAATGCTTTGAAAGGGTTAGCTTTAGATCTTAAGGTGTTTTGACTTAACACAAGGGTAATGATTGAAAGAGTTGAAACTTTTGAAGAAGGAGTCGAGAACGGAAAAAGGAAAAAAAAGTCTACTGAAAACGACATGTATGACCCAATATAAAGCTCATTGATAGAGCCAAGGAGGGTGCCTCGTAAGAAAGAAAAAAAATAAACAATTAATGCATAGCATATGCATGTTGTTGTGTTATATTGTGTCCGAAGGAAGTGACTTATCATCGACATGATTAAAGTGAAAACTATGCGTTGAAAAACATGTAAAGTCCAAGAAAGAATAATATAATAGCATAAAATAATTTCCCCATCCCTCTTGAAAAGTTCGTTCATTGCCCCTACTCCAAAGAAACTAATCTCCTGGTTTCCCAACTCAAATGATAATGTATAAAATGTAACGTGATGGCGATGCCACATGTTTTTCAAACACCACCTACCTTGCTACCTAGTTTGACAAAACTAAGGTGGTCGTGGTGAGTAAGAAATGATATCAACGGAGGACTTTATCCATTTAAACTTTGAGCTTTTTGGACATTTGTGAATGCTACTACTAATATCCTTCACCATCAACAATCATTTCGCTCTAGAACGAAGAATCTGCCATCAATTGGAACATTGAAGAATCGAAAATCTTAAAGATCTAATTCAAGTGGTTTAATCAAAATGAAGTTGTTGTTTGAAAGTTTGATATATTCCCTTCTTCTTTAACACTTTAATTGGTTTGAAAATATGGAGTTGGGGAATGGATTGATGCCATCTTCTATGTCGTTTTTTTCAAACATTGCTTTGTGTTTGTTTTGTTTCCAACAAAGCTTTCTGGACCATGCCTATCACCTACAATTTGGTTCCAACACAAGACACAATTACCTAAAAAGCTTCTTATCAACTCATCCAAAAAAAATAATAATCTATGCATTGGAGTTTGGATGCATAACTTCATTTTTTTTATATAGTATTTGTGGGTGTTGGTTCATTAACTTAGGTGCTTTACTTACGTAGGAGTTGAAGGTGGTTAGAATATGTATGATTAGAACTCTAGAGGCACAATTTGAATTAGAATGTTATGTATCACGTGAAAAACTACTAAAAATACCCGTAAGATGAAATTTGAGATTAATGTTGTTTTGAATATATCATGTGAACAACTTTAATTATGTGTTCACGCATGGTTAATAAGATTGAATTTTGTATCAAATTTTGAATTAAGGACTAGAAGTTGACGAATAATATGGTTTAATTTTGTGTGGAAAACAAATTTAGAAGCTACAAGAACGGTAAAGTCAAGATGTGGGGTATGATTAACGTAGATGTCCCATGACAACTTAAACTATTCCATAAACAAACTAAAAGCGAAACTAGGTTATGGTCCACTATTATTATTATTATTCTTATATATAGTAAAGGCCAAAGTTTCATAATAATCACAAAACCCACCAGTGCCACATCACCTTCTTTGAAACAAGAAATCTTAAACTTCTTCTCCACCCCACCAACTATACCATAAACCATAATTTGTGTAACAATTTTCAACCCTCTCCCAACACACCAACAACTCCCTCCCTTTTTTAAATATACAACTCACAAGTCAATTCTCAAACCTAAATAAAGTCACTCTGCTTGTAGAGGTAGGGAATGTGTTTTGATCGATAAAAAGGAAGAATCTATTTCAACCGAGATACCCTCCCACTAAAATATCGAAGAATCTAATTGTTGCCTTCAAATCCGATTTTGCATTCTTCTTGGTCGTTTTAGTAGGGGTATTTTGAGCGTGCTCCTTCGCGATTGAAGCTGTGGTAAGAGCTTTCTCTGTCACTACTTTTTTTTCCATTCCCAACCGCGATCGACTTATTGGTGATAAAAGGGTTTAAAGTTTAGGAGGGAATGTATGGAGCCAAGATTATAATAAGTTAACGTGTAGGGAAGAAAAGTGAAACTTGTAACGCTTAGGGTTAGGGTTTGGTTTGGTAGATAGAGCTAAATAGAAACAGATGTTATTAGCTTCTTTATGGTTCTCATTGTTGCAACAACCTCAAACATCATCTCATCTATTTCAATAAAGTTGACAGAATATGAAAATCTTTTTTTTTTTTTTTTAAATGTCTTTTAATTTAGTAGGAGATTTAAGTTGATATTTAATAATATGAATTAAATTGCAATAAAGACAAAGTTAGTATATGTGGGCTATCATTAGTCTAATCTTGGAAAGCAAGAGGGGAGGAGGGGATATAATTGTTTCGCATTTAATTACTTCATTCATATTAATATTAATATAGTATTTATAAGATGAATACTGAATTTTTAATTTTTAATAATAAAATATCAAAATAAAATTGTATTGTACTATTTTGTTGCGTTCACACAGGAAATCATAATCCCTAAACTCCTCCTTAGATTCACCAATTGATTATTCTCTCTCTTCCATGGCTACCCCACGACCATCCTTAATTATCTTTTTTTATATATATATATATAAAATAAAAAATATTTTAAATTCTTTTTTTTGTTTTTTTGTCTTAAATCGAGTGATGAAAAGCCTACAACACAACACTGTCTCCTTTATTTATTTATTTATTTATTTATTCCATATTCTGTGTCTCTCTGTCACAGAGGAAACCCTAAATCCTAAACTTTGGTGGGCATAAAAAGCAGAAGAGTTGAAGGAAGTTGGAAGTAAGGTTGTTGTTGAAGGTTATGCCACAGTTTTTGTTGAATTCCCACTTCCCCTTTCTTCTCTCTTTTCCTCTGTTTTCAACCAAACCACAAACTCACCTCCTCCTCCTCCTTCCATGGATTCCGGCAATAGTGGGAGTATGCAGTCCTCTAGTGGCGGCGATGAGGAGTACGAGTCACGCGCCGACTCCATCCCGCCTGCGTTTTTCTCCAACCCACCAACCCACGCGGCTTCTTTCCCTGCAAACTTCCATCCTCCTCCGCCTCCTCAATCCTCCTCCACCACGTCCTCCTCCTCTGCCGCCATGTTTGATCATTTGTCCACTTTATTTGATCCAAGATCTTCCCTTTCTAACCAAAACCCACTTCTCAATCTCGATATGCTTTGGTCCCGGACTATGAGATCTGATCAGATTTCGCCGGATCTCCCTGGCCCACCTCCTGATTCCTCTGCCACCGCCGCCGCCGATCACAATTTATCCTCTATCTCTAATTTCTCCGGTGTTCAGACTTTTTCTCAACCATCTGACGCTACTAATTCCTTCCAACCCACCCACCAGTCTGAATTGCAGAATATTCCCAACAATTGTGGCGGTGGCGCCAACGTGGCTCGGAGCTCGAAGAAAAGGCCGAGGGCCTCTCGACGAGCTCCCACGACGGTGTTAACAACAGATACTACCAATTTCCGCGCCATGGTCCAGGAATTCACTGGGATACCGGCACCGCCATTCACAGCCGCTTCCTCCTCCCCTTTTACAAGAAACGCTGCCAGGTTCGATCTTTTTGGCGGCGGGGGAGGCGCCGCCAGATCAGCCGCACATTTGGACGCTGTACCATCCACGCAGACTTACCTTTTGCGGCCACTTCCACAAAAACCGCCGTTTCTGTCTCCGTCACAGTCCACCTTCCTCGCCGGTACCAATTTGCAAAACCCAATTTTTGACATCCACAACATGTTTCAATCCAACCCCAAATTCATCCCTTCCTCCAATGATCAGAATCTCAAAATGGGTCTTTTCGACGAGTTCGGTCTCAGCAACCACAGCCATGGCCTCCCACCCGCTGCCCAAACCTTACAATCGAACAACAACGCCCACAACCCACCTCCGGCGACATGGGTCGGCGGCGGCGGCGGTGGAGAATCAAATCAACAAGGTGTTAATTTAAGATCTGGCAATGGAAATATCAACGGAAAACTGATCCGGTACGCCGCCGGCGCTGCATATTCAACTGGATTTCTCGGCGATAAAGCGGCGGAGAATTTAAGAGCTAGAAATGAAGGTATGGTGGAACCATGGATTTGTTCTTCTGATTAGATGCAAAAAAAAAAAAAAAAAAGAAAATGGGAAAATTATGAGAGAGAATTACAGTAGAGAGCGAATGATCGTCCTTAATTAACCATCGCCATTATCAAACATAATCGAAACACCTCATTTTCTTGGTTAACTATTATTATTGTGTAAATAAAACATATCTATTTTCAATTATTCCCTCATAATTCTTATTATACACCAAATTAGTTGGAAATTAAATTAACCCTCCATCTCCTATTCTCTCTCCTCTTCTTAAGAAAGAGTAATTAAAGGCGAGATTTTTGGGGATGCCTCAGCCGCCACAATCCATTCACAGTTTGATTATCATATTCTATTAATTTTCATGTTTGTATGATCCCAATTTTTCCTTTTATGCTAAATTCATCATTTCTTATTCTCTTTTCTTAAAAGATATACAAACAATCGGACACCTTTTTTCTTGTCTTTTCTTCTTGTTATTTTGCATAAAAATATGTCAAATTTTTTACATGCCTCTCTCGGTAGTAGTATTCTTAATTTCTTTGGTATCAACCCAAGTTCATGATTGTGTCACGTATCATGTCTTTCTTTCATCGTGCGATATTTCTTTGAGACATTTAATGGGTTTTTTCTTTTATTATTATTATTATTATTATGCTTGGTTGGGATTTAGAGCATTGGGAATGGAGAGGACCCCATATGTCCCTCCATCTGAAATTCAAATGTTAAACGAATGGAAGGTGAGATAAAAGTAAAAAGGGGTTTGTGCAGGCAGTACTCTTTCTCTCTTTTGAGAACTGTTGCTGTTTCAAACCTTTATTTGTTTGCATGAAATGGAGGGATACCCAACAAAGCCCTTTAATCTCTCCCCTTTCCATATCAATATCAAAAACACAAACACATTGATTGATATATCATTATCTTTTTCACTTCAATCATACCCATCCTCACAACCTTCATTTTAAATTACCCACAAGTCCCTTTTCCTTTTACCCAACAAACTTCCATCCTTTTTCGTTCATTCCCGGTTCCCGAGTTAAGTAAAAACACATATGATCCTGTTTTCAATCATACTCAAAACATGTGAGATCCCACATCGGTTGGAGAGAGAAACGAAACATATCTCATAAGGGTGTGGAAACATCTCCTTAATAGACGGGGCTATAACGAACAATATTTACTAGCAGTGGCATGAGACGGTTGAAATGGGGATGTGATTTTGTGGAGTGGTAGAAAAGGATGCGACCTTTTGATCACCCACTTTGGTTAAGAAATGGGAAGCCACCTTTTGTGGTGTTGAAAACTAATGGGAAGTGTTAGACATAGGAAATGGGTAGAGAGAGAGAGAGGGTGTAATAATGGTGATAGCAATGATGGTGTCTTCTTCTGTTTGTATAAACCCACAACATAATTAAAGAGAGAAAGAGAGAGAGATGAAGACGATAATGTCAAAGGGTGAAACAGTGAAAAGGCAAAGGCCAAGGCCAAAGGGCATCTCAAAAGAAACTCTCCAATTTTGAGCCTAAGTTTCAAAAGATGCACAACTTTTGTTTGCCCCACTCCAATGCATGCCCCTCTTAATCCCAAACCAAACAAACAAGCTGACAAAGTTTTGAGATTAACTACGGAAATAACACTTATCCCTATAAATAAATTATTCAAAATATAATAATAATAATAATAAAAGACAGAGAGAGAAAGTCAATTATGGCCTTATATTCCCCTCCACGTATATATATATATATATATATATATATATCTAATATTCTCAGATTTTCTTGTCTGCAATCACCCAATTTTGTTCTAAAATAATCTTCCCTTCCCTTCCCTTTCCCACACTGTTCCTTTTACAAATAAAAAATCAGAGAAAATTTATAATTTTTAATTAAAAAAGTACTTTTCAAGTCCATTCATGATCACCATCATGATTAACAGCTTGTTTTAAATATAATTCAAGACGTTGAGATTATAATTGAATCGCTTTAAGGATGGAATATTTAATATATTTAATATTTTATTCATATTTGTATGATACCATACAGAATTATTGGTTTGTCTCCAATATGAATGCAAAATTCGTCCCAAAAATTATAGTTGGAGAGATGTATTAATATCATAAATTCACAAGAAATTAATGACATTGGAAATTAGAGTTGTTCAGAATCCCAAATTAACAAGGCAGAGGGATATGAGTGCAAAATTTATGTCTATAACCAAAATATGGGTAAGGACAAGGAATATTCCTTGTCCCCGCCACATTTGCTTTATATATATTTTTTAAACAATAAATTCATATAATATAGTATTTTAATTGTATTAGGAAGCATAGAATATTCACTTTTAATTGAAAATTTATCTTTAAATTTTATTTTTTTTAAGATTCTGTTTTATAAAAAGACTAAACATGTTTTTTTTTTTTTTTTTTTTTTTTTTTTTTTTTTTTTTTTTTTTTTTTTTTTTTTTTTTTTTTTTTTTTTTTTTTTTTTTTTTTTTTTTTTTTTTNATTAAAATTTTAAAAAAAAAAAAAAAAAAAAAAAAAAAAAAAAAAACTTTTTTGAGGAAATGGAAAATCAAATGAAAATATCGTGAGGATTTTTAATTAAATTAGAAAATTTATCAAAGTAAAGAAAGAAAAGAATGCTCAAAGATCTATCTCCATAACCATAACTTTATATGTTTAGCTTATGAACCACTAAAGTTTTAGAATTTATTTTCCAATCTTGATGAAAATTACAAAAGTATAATTGAAGGGAAAAAAAAAAAGGAAAAAAAGGGCAAGTAAACGACAAAACTTTATAAAACAAAATAGTCAAACACAAAATTATGTTTAAGAATCTTAATTATTGAAGCCTTTTTAGAGTTAGGGTGAGCTAGCATGAGTGATTTGATGTAGGTGGTTTGTCCACGGCTTTAGGTTAACCTTTTTTATTCACCCATATGCAAAATAACTCAAATATAAACTAATATTATCATACTCAAAAATAGCCCACCAAAAGTTAGTAAAAATGATGTAACAACAAACCCGCCTAGCTGGCCCAAACATGTACGCAACCCGTCGTCTAAACCTAGTATCCCTCGAACCAATTTGACAACCTATAGTCTAAACCAAACTATAATTATGAATGTTAGGTAGACAAGGTAGATTAATGACTTCGGCATAAGTATTTAGGTCGTGTGTAGATGATAAGTACTATCCATCCAATTTTTAGTTGAAGCTAGAAAACAAAGTTCAAGTAATGAAATGATTTTTATGAAAGGATAGGTCTCTTCTATGATTATTTGTATATGCATCTACTTGCCTCAATAATGGGTCACTTATTGAGTATCACCGGTTGTATAATACTCAAATTATGAATACAATTTTAAAATATATATATATATATACAGGAATTTACTACCAAGAATAAAAGAGGGCCAAGAATTTATTTTATTATTCATATAATATATTTATAAATATATTCCAAATCAGGATTTCTCGAAGCACCACTCAGAAGAATATATTATTTTTCTTCTCCTCTCTTTTGTTAAAATGTTTTTTTTTTATTATTATTATATTCTATATTCCAATAATTTAGCATCCAAACAAGCTAAAATTTTTGTACGAACTTAAATTTCAAATTATATACATTGGCTGTATATCATTATTTTGAGATGCGTATTGTAAAAGAAAGCATCAAATAGTTTTGGGAATAATATACAATCATATCTCAATTGAGCTAGATATATGCTTTCGACTATAATGTCAAGATAGAACCGAATATCAAATATATATAGTACTTTTATAAATAGTAACGTCGTTGAGTTGGGAAAAGTACAAACCAATCTCGAGATCTAAATCCAACTTTGCATCAAGCTGTGGGCGACACAACGTCCTTTATCTAAAAGAAAAGTGGGACGGAATGTTTAACTAGTTTGAGCAAGTGATCTCGATGGATAAGGGATAAAAGAATCTCGAATAACAAACTACTTTGCGTGCTATCAATTTATTGTCGACTAAATAACAAACCAATACTTAAATTAAAGTAGTGTGGAGCTTGTATTGTCTATTTTTTATTACATGGACATGACAAGAAGAGTTAAAGAAAAGAAATGGGGTTCGACATGTAATCGCACAAGCCCACTGCTAGTATCGTCATTAGCTTCACGGTTTTAAAACGCGTTGACTATGGAGAGGGTCTAGCTCTATTCCGACTAGTGCCTCGCAACGTCTGATGTCTGAGTTGGTGGAGAAGGAAATGAAATATTTCTTATTTGATCGGTTTTGGCAAAACGAGTAGGTGGGTCCAGTTGAAATCGAAATGATATTTTGGTTGACAAAAACTGGAATGGCATCGTTAGGAAGATGATGAGATGGGGATAAAGAGCAGGTATGACAGAAAAGTAGCATTGTATGTGACATTTGCAAGCAACGTGGAGGTTTGGGATTTAAATTAAAAATTTGGTCAAAATTAAAACAGAAGATGACACAGAAGTAAGGACAGGGAAGTCCGTCCAAGCTCCCAGTGGTCCTTAAAACACCAGATTTTAGGGTATTATGAAGGAAGCGAGTGGCAATGTTTTGATGGCCTTTATCCATTTTTCTTCTGCACCTCATGCTTTCAGCTGCAACCGCCAAGTTGGACCGTAAGTACATCATCATCATCAGACCTCGTCCTTTTGTTCTTGAAGTTTGTTCCTGTTAACGTAGAATTTGAAAAGGAATGATGAGTGGATCCACCAGTTTGGGGTCAAATAAAGAAGAAACGGAAGATTCCGCCATTGGAAACATCGACCAGCAACCTGCCAATTGTGAAGGGGAAGTTTGGTTTGAATGTACGTAGCAGAGAATGATCGCATGAAATTATAGTCCCCAAGAAATAAACCATGCCTCAGACAAGGAGCTTTCATTTCTCTCATGCCTCATCTTAGTGCGTTTGCCAGATTTATTGGAAAATGCACTTAAAACATCAAATGTTTTGTGTCGGCTTTGGACTAAAATTCTGACTTTCTTTATTAATGCCTCAAATCAACCTTCCTATTTCTTT